TGTAAGTAACAAAAAACCTCTTTGTGTTTGTGTCCTTTATAAAGAAGAAGAAGAAGAGTAGAGATTGGATTTATACCCCGCCCTTCACTACCCAAAGGAGTCTCAGAGCGGTTTAGCAACTCCTTTCCCTTCCCTTCCCCACAACAGACACCCTGTGAGGTAGGTGGGGCTGAGAGAGCTCTGACAGAAACTGCTCTTTTTCAAGGACAGCTCTTATCAGGACTATGGCTTGCCTAAGGTCATCCAGCAGGTGCAAGTTGGAGGAGTGGGGAATCAAATCCGGTTCTCCCAGATTAGAGTCCGCGCACCTAATGTGCAGTCCCTCAGAAGCGGGGGCCCCCAGCAGGAAGGAAAGTTCTCAGGGCCTCCCTCCTCGCCATCTGAGAGGAGAAACCAGCTTCAGTTCAAAGACAGACGGTCTGGGGGCTGACCGCCTCCAGAAGAAGTGATTTCCATCAATGGAGGGCCCACACCAGACAAAAACGTCTTCAGCTGAGGCCTTTCAACACTCCAGTCCTTGGAGAGACACTCATGAAGCTACCTTATACTGAATCAGAACATCGGTCTATCGAGGTCAGTATTGTCTACTCAGACTGGCAGCAGCTCTCCAGGGTCTCAGGCAGAGGTCTTTCACATCTCCTACTGTCTGGTCCTTTCCACTGGAGATGCCGGGGATTGAACCTGGGACCTTCTGCATGCCAAGCAGATGCTCTGCCACTGAGCCACAGCCCCTGTTTACAGCTCTCCAGGGTCTCAGGCAGAGGTCTTTCACATCTCCTACTGTCTGGTCCTTTCCACTGGAGATGCCGGGGATTGAACCTGGGACCTTCTGCATGCCAAGCAGGTACTCCACCAGCGATTCACAGCCCCACAATGATTCACAAATGACATGGAGAGACAAATGACGACTGAGAGGTGATATGATAACCTTCTTTAAGTCCTTGAAGGACTGTCACATGGAGGATGATGTGGGGTTGTTTTCTGTTGCCCCAGAAGGTCGGACCAGAACCAACGGATTGAAATTAAATCAGAAGAGTTTTCGGGTAAACATTCAGAAGAACTTCCTGACAGAGCAGTTCCACAGTGGAACAGGCTTCCCAGGGAGGTGGTGGGTTCTCCTTCTCTGGAGTTTTTCATACAGAGGCTAGATGGCCATCTGACAGCAGTGCTGATTCTGGGAACTTGGGCAGATCATGAGAAGGGATGGCAGGAAGGGTTGGATCAGCACTTAGTTCTTGTGGCCCTTTCTTACACCCCCATGGAAATGCTGATCGCTACTTTGGGGTCAGGAACAGCGTTCCCTCTAAGCTGAGTTAGTGTGAGCTAGCCCACAGTTTCTTAGCCTCCGGCTCTACGTTTTTGTCTCAGCTCACGAAGGATGGCTCCAGAGCAGACTAATTTATGCAGCAGCCAAATGGCTCGCTCACAACTTTAATGCCAGAAGCTCACAAAGTAGAGTTTTTGCTCACAAGACTCCACAGCTCAGAGGAAGCCTTAGTCAGGAAGCAATTTTTCTCCAGGGCAGTTTGGCCGGGCATCCTGGAGGAGGGGGGGTTGGCCATCTTCTGGGCAGGGAGCAGGGGTCACTGGGCGTGTAGAGGGGGAAGACATTTGTGAATTCCCTGCATTGTGCAGGGGGTTGGACTAGATGACCCTGGAGGTCCCTCCGAACTCTATGATTCTCTGATTCTCTCGGATCCTCAGCCTCATGCTCCACTCCCTACCCAGTTTTTTTTCCTTCCAGTCTCTCCTCCACACACTCCTCCCGAGATGCAACTTGAGAAGTTTCATTACTCCACCCAACAGCATCTATCCCCAGAGCTCTCCACGCCATCTTTGCATTCTGCCTGAACTTTGCCCCAGCCAAGAAGATCCACTCCAGACACCCGGAGAAATGACTGATGTAGCAAAAAGAGCATTGGCGTCTAGATGACCTCTTCTGCTGCTGAACTGCCTGGTCTCCGTTTGCAGGAATTTCACTTCTGAAGCTCCGTGGAGCCGCGGGCCCTCTCCATTAAGTAACGATCCATTTGCACAGCAGCCCACCCCACACACACACACACGCCAAGCCCCGCTTTAATGCATTTGTTATTGCCTCCATTTGAATCCGCCAAACGTCTCTAGCATTGTGTCAGTACAGCAGAATTTATATCTCGACAGCCTGCCAACCAAGCGGCTGGGGCTCTGTGTTGATTTAAATAAGGAGCTTTACATTGGCCTTTTACTTGCCAAGAGACAGGGGTGGGGGGTGGGGGGGAGGCCTTCCAAGAAAGGCTTTTACACCTCAGTACCTCCAGGAATAGTTACAGCCAGTTCACTACGCAGAGTCTGGTTCCAGCAGGGCTTAGCAGAATTAGAGATCCAAGTCAATACGGAGCATGAGCTGCTACTCCACTGGGTCGTTAGACTCCCCACCGCTAATGCAGCATCAAGGAAACGATTATCCACCAGGCCTGGTATGCTGTGGAATAATAAAGAGGAATAATAAAGAGGAAATTCAGTCTAACTTGCTACCTCCCTGCTAAAGACAGGGTTCTGTTCCAGTCAGCGGTTGCTCTGAGATCGCTGAAAAGATCTGCTGGATTCGAATCCAGGAGCCCCTTAGAAACTGTGGCAGAATGGGCCTGCTTTGGCCTGCCATCCCTATTCCACCCTGCCGTCCAAAGTTTTCATAACACCTCCAGAGGCTTTTCTTTCCCACCAACACCACCTGTCCTTTGCAGGAATCGCCCACTGGGAGAATCAGGAGTCCCAGCTTCCCTTCCAAGTTCTGGGAGCTTGCCTCTGTGTCTTCTGCTGCCCAGCGCCTGGTCACCATGGGGATGGTTTACTGCCTTGGGCACCCTTGGGAAAATAGTCACCGCCCCACTGCTTGCCTTCCCCCTGGCACTCGTATTAAAACAGTGTGCCCAAGATAGAGGAGGTCTACGTGGTACAGAGAACCACTACCAGCATCAAAAGTTATAAGGTATTAAGAAGAAAATATCCACAAGCATACCGCTGACTTATGACAACCCCTGGGGTTTCAAGGCAAGAGACATTCAGAGGTGGTTTGCCACTTCCTGCCTCTGTGTAGTAATCCTGGGTTTCATGGTGGTCTCTCATCCAAATACTAACTAGGGCTGACCCAGCTTAGCTTCCAAATCCTGACAAGACCGGGCTAGCCTGAGCCATTCAGGTCAAAGCGGAATGGTTTGAGCCCTGAGAGCCAGTTTGGTGTAGTGGTTAAGTGCACGGACTCTAATCTGGGAGAACCGGGTTTGATTCCCCACTCCTCCACTTGCAGCTGCTGGATGACCTTGGGCAAGCCATAGTTCTGACAAGAGCTGTTCTCTCAAGGGCAATTTCTGTCAGAGCCCTCTCAGCCCCACCTACCTCACAGGGTGTCTGTTGTGGGGAGGGGGAAGGGAAAGGAGATTGTAAGCCGCTCTGAGACTCCGAGTGAAGGGTGGGGTATAAATCCGATCTCTTCTCTTCTACTAAAAACCAATGCGAAGAAGACCTCTCCTCCTGAAGGCAGCAGGTACAGCGACCACCTGCACACCTGGAACATGTTATATTATTTTATTCATGCACCAGTTGTTTCCTCAATGGAGACCCACAGAGGCTTACATCCTTCTCCTTTCCTCCATTTATACTCACAACAACCTTGTGAGGTAGGTTAGGACCAGAGAGTGTGACTGGCACACGTTCACCCAGCACGTTTCCGCAGAGGAATGGGGATTTGAAACTGGATTTCCCACGTCCCAGTCCGACACTTTAACTGCTACACCACGCTGGTTCCCTTGGGTGAAGGGCAAAACATGCAGAAACCTTGTTCAGCAAGATCTGTTTGACATCTACTTCGCTGCCATAGGAAAGGGAGACCATCGTCCCAACACCCCACCTTAAATAAAATACACACATGAAGCTGCCGGATACCGAGAATCAGACCCTTGGTCCATCAAAGTCAGTACTGTCAACTCGGACTGTCAGGGGCTCTCCGGGGTCTCCAGCTAAAGTCTTTCACATCATTGGCTACCTCAAGATCCAGTTTGGTGTAGCGGTTAAGTGTGTGGACTCTAATCTGGGAGAACCGGGTTTGATTCCCCCACTCCTCCACTTGCAGCTGCTGGGTGACCTTGGGCAAGCCACAGTTCTGTCAGAGCTGCTCTCTCAAGGACAGTTCTGGAAAGAGTTCTCTCAGCCCCGCCTACCTCACAGGGTGTCTGTTGTGGGGAGGGGAAGGGAAAGGAGTCTGTAAGCCGCTCTGAGACTCCTTTGGGTAGTGAAGGGCGGGGTATAAATCCAATATCACCTCCTTTTAACTAGAGATGCTTGGGATTGAACCTAGGATCTTCTGGATGCAAAGCAGAGGATCTTCCACTGAGCCGTGGCCCCAGTTAATAGATGAACACACAAAGCTGCCTTATACAGAATCAGACCTTTGGTCCATCAAGATCAGTATTGTCCATTCGGACTGACAGCAACTCTTCAGGGTCTCAGGCAGAGAAAGGTCTTTCCCATCACCTCCTGCCTGGTCCTTTTTAACTGGAGATGCCGGGGATTGAACCAGAGACCTTCTGGATGCCAAGTAGATGCTCAGCCACCGAGCCACGGCCCCTCCCCAATGCCCCGCTCAGTCTTTTGCCTCCCATTCTCCAATGCAGAAGCGCCGCACACCACTTTAAAAACACATTTCAGTTTATTAGCAACTGGTTTTCCTTTTTACCTTTCCACAAGTGCCATCAAGGTGGCTCCGTTTTCAGTCTTGCCATAAAAGTACCTTAAATATCATCTAATTAAAACATGTCCCACCCCAAAAGTGCGTATTTTAAAAAGAGTTACAAACACAAAGAAATAAAAAGACCCGGGAGACAGAAGAGAAGAATTCAACTAAGTGCTCTGAAGTGAGTTCTCGCTGGGCGAGAGTCCGGGCTTCCTTGAAACATCGGCCGAAGGTGGCAGCTTCTTCCTCAATGGCCAGAACACGGCAGAGAGGCCCGGTCGCTGCTCTGGCACTAGCGGTTGCTGTTGACCCAATGGTATCGGTCCACACGGGGACCGGTGAAAGCTGCTGATGGCCGATAGGACTTGAACATCTTGTACTGGAGGTAGTAGGCGCTGATAGGGTGCTGAGAGAGACCATCCGGGGCATATGCTTTTCGCCGGGAATACTGGGCCCAAAGGTGGAACGGCTGCTTGCAATAGTCGCTGCACTGAGAGCAGAGAAAGTGACAGATATGAACACCGCAACCTAGCACAACATGGAAACTCGAGGGGTTAAGCCAATCCCTCTGCGCTGCACCCCTAGCAAGGGTTTTGTTGTCCTTGGTTCAAGGGTTAGCCCAAGTTGTTTGGGTCAAAGCAACTACCCATGTGTCTGCCTGAACCTGCTGAAGCCCTTGGGACTTCTGTGTCCACCGCATTCAACCAAGGCCTTCCCTAATTAGGTCATCCATATTCAGGGCTATTTTGGGGCAGGAACGCACAGGAACGGCGTTCTGTCTAGCTCCCAAGTTGGCCACGCCCAGCAGGAACTCATTAGCATAATAGGCCACACCCAACAGCAGAAACTCATTAGGATTGGCTACTTTAGGGGGGTGTGGCCTAACATGCAAAGGTGCTCCTGCTACAAAAAAAGCCCTGGGTTTTGACCACAAACAAGGTAAACAGAATAAGAAGCAAAAGGTGGGTTTGGCTGGATGACCACACTTCTGCTATCATGGGGGTGTGGCCTAATATGCCAATGAGCTGTGCTGTCGTGGGCGTGGCCTAATATGCTAATGGGTTTCTGCTGTTGGGTGTGGCCTATTATGCTAATGAGTTCCTGCTGGGCTTTTTCCTACAAAAAGAGCCCTGTCCATATTCATTTCAAGGTAGAAGGCATGGCCCCAACAACAGACATTCCTAAGACCAGGGTGCCCCAAGCTTTGAGCCCGAAGGCACCTGTAGCATTTTGAGAGGGTATGGTAGGTGCCACTCCAAAATGGCTGCCATGGGAGGGTGTGTGTCATGATCTGGGCTGCAGGCTTCCCAGGTACTTACCGTGATTCGGCGGGGGACAAAGACGTCTTCGCAGGATCATTCCCGTGGGGACAACAGATGCGCTGCACCATGCCGTCGCCAGGAAGTGATACCATCAAGTTTTCAGCCCCTTTGCCAAAGCGTTGCCCAGTTTCACGTCCTGGCCACGGCATGGTGCATTACAGGGAGGAATGTTCCGGCCGGGGAGCATGTGTCCCCCGCTGGATTGCGGTAAGTAGTTGGGAACCCTACTGGGCTGTGTCACCAGAGGCCTACTAGGCCCAGGGAGCCTGGGTAGCAGTAGGTGAGGCTGGGCCTACAACTCCCAGAAGCCCCTGAGAGGTTTTGGAGTCAAAATTGACCAATAGAAAAAGAAGAGGGCTTGGAATAAAAGATCTGAAGCATCAGGAAAAGTTGTTCTTCTTCCCAGAGGGCAGAGCCAGAAGGAAGGCTGCTGCAGGGAAGAAATGCTCATCCTGAGGGAAGGGTGAGTAGTCTAAGGCCACTGCAGATAGTGAGCAGTATATATTTAGACACATTACAGCATTTGATTTCTTTTCACCCACTTACTGTTAATATTCTGCACCTTGTTTGTTTGACCTCTTATAAAATAAACTATTTGCATTGTTCACTCTGCCTGGTCCTCACGCCTGTTATTCGGCCAAAAGGGAGGTCTGAAGGTCTTGGGAGGGTGCTCTGGGCCTTCTCAAGGGATCCTAAATCCAGAGTGGTGGCAGCGTCAGGTGACACCCCACCTGAGCCTTGACAGGGTGTCAAAACCAAAATGGCTGCCATGGACGGTGGAGCTAATCCCAAAATGGCTACCAAGTACCTCCATTTTTTGCTTTGAAAAAGTATCACATAAAGGGGAATTAAAAGAAATGAAGGTAGGCCCAAAAGAAATGAAGGAAAGCTGAACAGGAGATAGGGAAAAGGAAAAGAGAGATTAAAAAGAATGAAGGCCTGATGGGAAAATGGAAGCACACAATAACTAAGGAAAACACAGGCCTTCCTGCTCCTATAGGGATTGTTAGCTGCTACTCAGGGCCGTAGCTACAGTGGGGCTTCTCAGGGCCCAGCCCCCTGACTTATTGCCAAGGCCCCCTCACTTCCTATCCAGCCCAGGTGCTCCCTTGGGGGTGAGCAGGGTGCCCTCTGGCTTATTTAAAGCCCCCCCCCATTACAAAATCCTGGCTACGGGCCTGTAGAAAATTACGTTCATTTGAATGAGGGCAGCCGGTAACAGACCCCATCTTGAAACGGCTCCACCCACTTTAAGGGGACGTCCTGGTGGGTGTCTCTGTGCCCCACACTGGAGAACCCTTCCATAGACCATCAGCCACCAGGGCAGGCAATGGGAACTTCTGTCCCGCTCCATACAAGGCCCCAAGTCAGTCCTAGCAGCGGCAACCAGGAGACGCGAGAGAAGGAAGAGAGTCACACACCAGGCCAAATGGCCCCGCCCTTTCCACGGGGACCCGGCCTCTCACCTGATAGACACTGTTTGGGTTGCTCACTGTCGGGATGCTCTTGGGCTCCTTCATGCAGATCTCCTCGTCGGAGGAGGACGTCCCAGAGTGGGAATCGGAGGTCAGCACCTTGTCCACGGCCTGGCTGATGCGTTGCGAGAGATCCTGCTCCTCTTCCTCGCCATCAAAGTGGGCAACCGTGAAAGGAGGGTTCTTCTCACCATACCTAGGTGAGAGGGAGGCATCCGGCCGGGCAAGTCACTAAACAGCTGTAGTAGGTATTCAGGCCTAAACAACGGACAGACTCCTCGCAAATGCAGCTGATCTGCTCTCCGCACTAGAACCACAACGTTCACCCATGCTAGTTATTTTGTATGGCGCGTGCATGAGCAGATCAGTTCTTGTGCGAGGGCAAGATTTTCCTGAACCTGAAGCTCATAGCAGGAAGCAAACAGCCATTCCAAGTGGCCGATGCACCAAAGAAGCCCAACGCAAGCAAGCCAGAGAGCAGATCATGCGCCATTGGGAAACACCCAAGAAGCTTAGGGGTGAACTCGTCCTGCAGCTGGTTTGCGCAATGCTGAGCGCAGCCCTGTACACGAGGCAGAGGGCTTTTCTGCATGCTTGACATAGTCCTGATATTCCTGGCAGTCAATCCACAAGTACTGAAATCATCTTGGACGGGGTCCTTCCAAACGTCTGCCCTCCCATTGCATTTTCACAATTGTGGAGTCAATTTATTTTCTTTCACACATGCCTTAAATAATCAGGATTTTCAGGGGAGGGTGCTGTCATCATTGGTGGAGTCACAGCAAACCCCCTTTTTGATTTTTGTGCATGCGTATATTGGTATTATGGCTACATTTTTTAAAAAAGGCACTAAAATATCGATATACCATTGTAATGTTAGGTTAAGCAGGTTGTCTGAATTCCCAGCTTTATTTTTTTTTAAGGTAAGTCTCTACCTTCCGTGCAGGAAGGGGATAGAGATTTACCTTTAAAAAAAATTAAAGCGGAGAATTTAGACAGCTTGCTTAACCTATCATTACAACCATATATCGATATATCAAAATTTCAGAGCCTTTTAAAAAAATTAAAAAATCAAACCACTCATCTTCTTGGGGGAGGGGAAGGAAAGGGAGTGGTTCGACAAGGTGCAACAGTCCAAACGTCAAAAAGTGGGCTGGACGTGGGTGGGACAAAGAAAGCCAACTGAAACATTGATGCACAAGGAAAAAGGCAATTCCAAACTGGCTTCCAGAAAAAGACTGGGGTAAACGTGGTCTTAAAAAAATAAACCACAAAAAGGGGGAGGGGACAAAAAATAAAGAGAAAAACTAAAGGCAAAAAAAATGCATGTGGTAATCAAGATAACCTGAAGCAGGACGGGGTCAGAACGGATGATAGCAACAAAAAATACGCAGAAAAGTCCATCGATCGCACCCACAGACAGTTATGCACTAGAGTCCCACACTTCTCTAAGAGACCACTTCCACCCAGCATCAGTACCCCATACAATCTTCAATCCCTTCAAGTACCAATCGGGGTACCAAAGCTAGATCTTCTCCCAAGGGATCACCTGCAGCACACGTCAAATGGATCCACCCAGATGGTCAGCTCCTTTGGCAGGCCAAGTCGACTGAAATCCACATTGCTCTCCTCGCAGGCCTGCTCCAGCAGAGGATCTCTTGCCTGAAAACTGTTTATCCTGATACATCTGGGGAGACAGAAAAGGTACCCGGCTAGTCCTTCTCCTTCATGCCCCAAAATGAGTGGTCGTCATGCCCCACTGGATTAAACCAGAATAACCCGTTTGTGTGGGCTGGAAGCTAGACTCCTGCCAAGCCAGACTACATTGTCTGTGCCAGGGCCACAGTGACTGCGTCTGAAAGGGTGGGGAGAACATGGACTCAGGGCCCCACCCAAAATGCATCTGTCGCAGCTACACTTCTGTCCCTTTTTGACGACTGGGTGGGCAATTCAGGTTTCACAAAGGATAAAGATGGGCTGGTTTGCCAAGGACGGTCAAAATCTCCATGTAAAAAACCAAGACTGTACCGCTGGTACATCGGCACTACGATTGCATAACTGTAAAGCGAAATCAATTTGGTGCAGTGGTTAAGTGTGCGGACTCTAATCTGGGAGAACTGGGTTTGATTCCCCACTCCTCCACTTGCAGCTGCTGGATGACCTTGGGCAAGCCATAGTTCTTTCAGAGCTGTACTCTCAGGAGCAGTTTCTCTCAGAGCTCTCTCAGCCCCACCGACCTCACAGGGCGTCTGTTGTGGGGAGGGGAAGGGAAAGGAGGCTGTAAACCGCTCTGGTATAAATCCAATCTCTTCCTCTTCCCTAAAGTCAGGGGTCATTTCCTGCAGGAGCGCACAGGAGCAGAGCTCCGGCAGTAAAGAGCCCAGGGGGCAGGCACACGCAACAAGCCCTGCGAGGACAGAACTGCACGTTCCCCCCCCCCAATAGCTAGCAATCCAAAACAGTCCAGTGGAGCCTGAGCGGTGGGTGTTGCCTTCTGACACACTTCCAGTGATGTCAGGGGGTGTGGCATATGCAAATAAGTTATGCTAATGGATTATGCTAATGAACTCCTGCACCTCTTTTTCTACGAAATGACCCCTGCCTAATGTTATCTACTATGAATTTTCATGCAAAGTGTCTGGGAAATTTTAAATGCTCTGTAGCTGATGATTTGATCATTTTTGACATGTATTGAATCAATATACGGTGGGTATAGAAGTTAGTCCTGACCTGGATTGCCCAGGCTAGCCCCATCTGGCCAGATCCTGGAAGCTAAGCGAGGTCTGCCATGGTTAGTATTTGGATGGTAGACCACCATCGAAGTCCAGGGGTGCGACTCACGGCAAACCATGAGCCTTCATATTTGATGCTTGCCAGACATCAAGAGATGCCAGCAAGCCTAAACTAAAAGGGAAGGCAATAGTTTTCCATGTGAGATTCTGAATTTCAGAACCTTAAGGTGTAGGTTGCAAATATTCGCCAGCCTGTGTTTCAGCTCTGCACCACCAGTTGCAGATCCCCCCCTCCAACACACACTACCAACACATCTCAAAGATGCTCCTAATATCATTGATGCCAAAGTTAAGATGTACCCCTCTAAAACAAATCCAGTCAGCCTGTGTTAAATAGTGGGTTCTAGACGCATTTCAATTAAACAGCTCTGTTTTATTAAGTGATTTCAGGCATACTGAAAGACGAAACTCCAATGCTGCTGCCTGGTTTTAAAGCATGCAAACACCACACCCAAACACACCCCACTCCCAAGGATAGGCTATTTACATTACACTACTTCCCAGTTGGTCAACTCCAGGATCCTGGTCAGCTATTGTTCTGGAGGAACAAGCTCAACCGGTTCCAGGTACTAGTTCAGGCTCAATACATAACAGCCTGCCTGTCATAACCTGCAACCCAGAAGTCCCCATTTAACGGAGGGGGGCACATGCATATATCATCTACCTGAAAGCTTGCCCTCTGGAGGGATTGTCCAGGTACCAGTGGTTCTTATACTTCTCAAACAAAACCATCATCAGCTTGGATGCAAATGTCTCAGTTTGGCGTTTGCTCAACTGGCCGTGCTTCTTCACTAGCCGCATGATGAAGAACACCGAAACAGCAATTTCATCCTTCATGTCTTTTTCTTTTAAAACAAAAATTGCAGCTAATGGAGTCCCTGCTTCTATAGCACAGATGGGGAAAAGCAAGAGGGAAGTTACTTTTAGAGAGGCCCTTCCATTTGATCCATACTTGGCCCACCCATCATTTAAGATTTATTTATTTATTTATTTATTTTTACACTTATATCCCGCCCTCCCCAGTGGGCTCAGGGCGGCTAACAGAGGCCAGATCATTAGTCTAGCCATAAATAAAAACATAAAAACACAATAAAAACATCAAAACTAAGACTAAAGTGCTCTATCCAGTTACTGGTGTCCTAGGTCCAAGATGGTATCCCCACGACTCAAGCTAGTATTCTCAGCGTACATATCCAGTGGCGACGGCCTATCCAATCTTCTGTAATTCCAAGTTCTTCCTAGGGCCCCATCGATGCATCCATTCAGATGTCTTGACGGTGGTGGTATAGTAGGGTGGCGGCTCCTACTCAAAGGCCTGGCGGAAGAGCTCCGTCTTACAGGCCCTGCGGAACTGCTCAAGGTCCCGCAGGGCCCGGATCTCGCCCAGGAGCTCATTCCACCAGGTAGGAGCCGCCACCGAAAAAGCCCTAGCCCTGGTCACAGATGGCAGCTAGGGTTTGCAAAGAGATCTGTGCCATCTCAGAAGTAGATCTCCCTTTTGGCCCAAATGTGGAAGAACATTTACACTGCGATCGCACACACTAAATAATCCGCTTTCAAGCCACTTTCTGTGCACTTTTTGAACTGGCAAAATACAGTTGAAAAGTGCATTGAAAGGGGACTATTTAGTGTGTGCGATCGCGTGTTTCTAGATCAGACCGAAGCCGTCTAGCTGACATTCCATTGCCAACTGCAGCCAACCAAATGCCTCCAGTAGATCACAGGCACAAAGGGAATAAGCTGTCAGAGATAAACTGCCCCTGGACATGGAAGTTCCAAGTCTGGCCTTTTAAAAAGCTACCTGTGGTGCTGGGCACCACCCCATCTTGTTGTAGTGAACAGTTCCTCGCATGAAGAAACCTTCCTTTTGTCTGTGCTAGAAAATAGGCCTGTCCGCTCTTACAATACTATCCACAGTTTTATCGATTTGCACCCCACCGGTTTAAGCACCATCAGGAAGCACATTGTTCCTTAACAACCGGTCTGGTTCTACTGCTGCCACTCACATACAGCAAGTTTTCCAGCATCAGGGCTTTTTTTGTAGAAAAAGCCCAGCAGGAACTCATTAGCACAATAGGCCACACCCAGCAGCAAGAACTCATTAGCATATTAGGCCACACCCTGACAGCAGTGTTCCCTCTAAGCTGAGTTAGTGTGAGCCAGCTCACAGTTTTTTAGTCTCCGGCTCACATATTTTTGTCTTAGCTCAGGAAGGATGGGGCTCCAGAGCAAACTAACTTATGCAGTAGCCAAATCGCTTGCTCACAACTTTAATGCCAATAGCTCACAAAGTAGAATTTTTGCTCACAAGACTCCACAGCTTAGAGGGAACATTGCGCTGACAGCACAGCTCATTCGCATATTAGGCCACACACCCATGCTACCAGAAGTGTGGTCATCCAGCCACACCCACCTATTGCTTCTTATTCTCTTTACCTTGTTTGTTGTCAAACCCCGGGGCTTTTTGGATGTTAGGCCACACACCCCTAATTGTAGCCAATCCGAATGCGTTTCTGCTGTTGGGTGTGGCCTATTATGCTAATGTGTTCCTGCTGGGTGTGGCCTTGGGAGCCAGCCGGAACTCCGTTCCTGTGCGTTCCTGCCCAGAAATAGCCCTGAGCATGATCAAGCCCTTTTCCCCAGGTGACCACAGCCAAGTCATTCCACAGCAGCACATGCACCAGGGGTGGTCAAACGGTGGCTCAGGAGCCGCATGCGGCTCTTTCGCACATATTGTACGGCTCCTGGGAGAGTGGCTGGGGAAGCTACATATTACTAGCGAACAAATATGATTGGACAAATAAATGTCCTTATCAATATTTGCTCTTTTGTTATTATTTTGGCCGTCTCCTTTAACGTTAACAGAAAGCAGATCTGCATATCGTTCAATAAAAACATGTAATCCCTGTCCATGCCTTGCGGCTCTCAGACACCTGATGCTTATTCTGTGTGGCTCTTATGTGAAGCAAGTCTGGCCACCCCTGAGTCATACACCTATGTCAGGAGTCCCCAACACGGTGCCCCTGCGTACCATGTACCCACTGACACAATTCCTGGGGCCCACCAAGTGTTTTTACAAAGTGGGTGGGAACACACGGGGCTTTGGCCCAACAAGGCTTCTGACTTTAAAAGCACTGCTTTGGGGGCAGCTGCCACTGGAGCAAAAGGATCTTCCCTGTGTGACTGAAGGTAAATTGAGGCAACCATTTTGTGGCTGACTCCGCCTCCTGTGGCAGCCATTCAATGACAGCCATTTTATGGATACAACCCTCCTCAATGCTGTGTCAGAATTCCAAAGGTGCCCACAGGCTCAAAAAGGTGAGAAACCATTAACAAGAGGCTGTTTTAACACACACAGAACCTTCACTGTACGTTGAAGGATAGCGAAAGTATCACACCAAGACCCAGGGGTCATTTCCTGCAGGAGCGCACAAAAGCGGAGCTCCGGCAGTAAAGAGCCCAGGGGGCGGGCACATGCAATAAGCCCCACCCCCTGCTCCCATGAGGAGCAAGAAGCAGTCCTCCTTCTTTCCTTCTCTCCTTCTTTCTTTCCTTCTTTCCTTATCTTTCTTTCTTTCTCTCCTTCCTTCACAGATCTGTTCATTCCCTCCCCCCAGCTAGCAATCCAAAACAGTCCAGTGGCACCTTTAAGGCCAAGGTTTATTCAGGTACAAGCTCTCCCTCCTCTGGGAGGGCTAGGGTTCCCAAGTCCAAGCGGCGCTGGAGCGGGGGACTCCAGCGCTGCTCTGGGAGTGCGTGCCACCACATCACCCGGAAGTGACGCAACCACGCCAGGCACGCTAGAGCGGGGCCACGACCATCCGAGAGAAAACCATAGAGTTTTCCCTCGGATGACCGTGGCCCCGCCCCCAGCGTGCCCAGCGTGGTCGTGTCACTTCCGGGTGACGTGCACGTCGCGTGCTTTGGGGGTGGGGTTCCCCCCGGGGCCCGATCCGCCAGCGGCGGAGAATGGGCCTCTGGGGCGGGGGTTTCCCGCCCCCCAGGGGGACTTGGCAAGCCTAGTGAGGGCAGATCTGCACGTCCCCCCCCCCATAGCTAGCAATCCAAAACAGTCCAATGGAGCCTGAGCTTCTGACACACTTCCGGTGATGTCAGGGGGCGTGGCATATGCAAATAAGTTATGCTAATGAGTTGTGCTAATGAGCTCCTGCACCTCTTTTTCTACGAAATGACCCCTGCCAAGAACTCTGCCACCGAGTTCCTCAAAAATGAGAGGCTAAATAGAAAAGGAAAGGCCATACAGGGCAGCTCCTCTCTTCAGGAAGCTCTGAGGTTACTTAAAACCACATCGGAAGCACTTGCCTAAGATGGACACCACAAACCAGGAAGGCCTCCGGCCAGCCACTGTGGGAAACAGGATGGCTGACCCAGGATGGGAGCCAACAGCACTCTTACAGAAGAAGCATTCCTGGAGGAAGAGCCTAGCGACAACTATTGACCATAACAGCTAAATGGAGCCTCCATGTTCTAAGGCACTCTACCTCAGAATACCAATGGAGGAAAGAGTAGACAGCTGGCTGTGGGCTCCCCAGAAATACTACAGAACCTCAGACTAGATGGACCCTCGGCCTGGCTCTTTTTTGTTTCCTTCTCTCCCCCAGGTTGCCAACCTCCAGTCAGGGCCTGGAGATCTCTCAGAACTACATTTGATCTGCCAGACTACAGAGATTAGTTCACCTAGAGAAAATGGCTCGGAGGGGGGCCTCAGTGGCCCCACAGCCCTGCTCTGAACTCCCTCCTAAAAATCCATCCCCCCCAAAATCTCCAGGAATTTCCCAACCAGAGTTGGCAACCCTATCTCCCCCTCACAATTCATTAGCTACAGCCATTCATTGTTCCAGCACTGCCTGAGTAAGCTTCCCCCACTTCTTAGGACACCCCCCACTCTTTAACCGTAAGCAACAAACATATTACCTCCGGGCAAGAGCAGCCAAAACCTCCTGTATACAGAGATGCTCTAGACAGAAGAACACACCTGCTGTGCTCAACAACACCTGGGAACAAAAGAGAGGCAGACCCCCTCAGCTGCTGTTACTTCTAAAACAACCTAAAACTGCCACAGTTATGGTTTTCTCCCTGCCTCTAGTGAACCAGCTCAAGATCTTCTGCTAGCTGAATGACGCCCCAAGGGTTGTGGCTTCAGTGTTATATCTCCCAGCAGCAGGTGTGCCCCATCAAACAAAATGCCTCCCGTGCTCTTAAAGAGCCATGTGCTCCACTAACCCATTCAGCATGACTTCTTTTTGCTTCTTCTTGCAGCAGCTTCTTTCATTCTGTTCTTGATATGGGCTCATCATCATCAGAAAAAGGAGAGTTTGGATTTATACCTCGCCCTTCACTCGGAGTCTCAGAGCGACTTACAGTCTCCTTTCCCTTCCCCACAACAGGCACCCTGTGGGGTAGGCGGAGCTGAGAGAGCTCTTTTGAGGACTGCCCTTGAGAGTACAGCTCTGAGAGCACTTGTGACTGACCCAAGGTCACACCGGCAGCTGCATGTGGAGGAGTGGGGGAATCAAACCCGGTTCTCCCAGATTAGGGTCTGTGAGCCTAACCACTACACCAAACACTAAATCTGCTGCCCTCACAGGTCCTGGTCCTCCAAAGCAGGGTTGCCAGCAGGCCTGGAGAAAAATGTCCCATCCCTTTAAGAGAGCCTCCATGTGTGGAAAGGCATGGAGGTAAATAATATCACCCTGGGAAATGGCATCCCATTAAGCTGCTGTTAAAGGGACAGGACCTTTTCCTTCCGGGCCTGCTGGTAAGCTGGCTCCGAAGTTCTCTCGTCAAAGACTCGCGGGACCAGAAAAGGGTGTGAC